TATATATATATATATATATATATCGTTACCAATTAAAACAAACTTAACCTATAACTTTTGATACTAGTATCGATATCGATATCGGAAGGTATCGCACCGAAACCAAACGATAACAACATAACCGATACTTTCGATACCAGTATCGTGTGATCTCGATATCGATACTGTACGGTATCGCAGTGATAACAAACATAACCAACATAACCGATACTTTTGATACCAGTATCGCGTGATCTCGATCCGATACTGTAAAGAATGGCATCGAGACCAAACGATATCAAAATTAACGAAACTTTCGATACCAGAATCGCGTGATTTCGATACCGATACTGTATGGTATTGCACCGATACCAGACGGAAAATCGAGACTCGAGACCAATTATCTAGTGTCTAATATATATTTGTTAAGAATGACTAAATGTAATAAATATGTTATATTGTATATACTGCTAATTTAAAAAGAAAGTAAATAATAAATTCAAATTAAATCTAATAGGTTAAAAAAAGGTGTTACAAAAAAAAAAAAAAAAAATCAGAATCGTTTAACTAACTAATATCATATATAATAAATCTTTAGCTGCGTCCAGTGGTGTAGCTACCATATAGTAAAGTAAGGCAATGCCTCAGGGCCCAAGAGTTGAAAGGGGCCCTTTTAGCTTTGGCCACAGCACACAGCCAGTTTTATTTTAATTTTATATAAACGATTTGAATGTTTTATCTAATTTTCATTGCTATATTTTTACTTTATAGAAATCTTTCAGTTAATTAGTCCTGCCCTCCCCTTTTTATTTAGATTTCTCCTAATATGTAAATTACAAGTGTTTTCATTGGTTAATTTTAAAGTTAACGCGCGTTTTTTTCGGACCGTTAGTAACAGTTTAGAAATGCTAACATTAACATGCACGTGTAGCGTCAAAAATATGTATTCGTAACAGTTGCTGAGGTTTTTATCATTGTTTAAATATCCATTGTATTTTTCTAATAGAAGAATACAAAATAGAAAATTTCTATTCATTGTTTCTTTTCTTCTATATCTGCCTTTCTCTTAAGAAATTTACGTTTTCCGTTTTTCTTCTTTAGATTATCTGAAGCATTGCAATAACCATATAGTGCTTTCTGTTTAAGGAGTTTAAAATTGTACAATTTATCCTGATCATTTCCATGTTATAAGAAAACATGGAACTATTAAAGAGTAAAAGTGGATTTCAAAAAAGAAAACTTAAAAAGCAGAAAGAAGAAGCATTAAATAAATTACCAAAGCTAGACAAGTTTATTATTAAAAATAATAATGAAAACCAAGAGAATACTCCAGATGATGCATCGATCGAATGTGAATGTTAAATGATGAGTTAAATATTTTAGAGAAAGGTTATACTGAAGTGATTGCTTGTAAATCAACTAAAGCAGACTGTAGCGATGGAGAAATTAAAAAAATTTCAGATCAAATAATTGACACTGAAGATGCTTAGGAAGTTGTAACGGGTATTAATGAAAAAAATATCATTTATACAAATACCACTATATGTAGTGACCTAGGAAAATATTTAAATCAGAATACTTCTGATGAAACCAAAAGATTACTGATAAGCATTCCTGGTCACAGACCTAAAGGACCATTTCCCAAAGATCCTAGTCAACAGAACAGAAGTTGAAACTTACTATTATTCTACATCAAACTATGGCCCAGTTCCACGATTATACAGGCCCGTGCGGTAGATTTTCTCATTATGAGGCAAATCTTCGAAATGCCGCCCCTTAAATGTTTTTCTTTAAAATAACCTGCGATTGTAATTTAAAAAAAAACTGCAAAAAATGTACGAATTCTACTTTTTGTTTTGAAATTTTAAAATAATGATTTCAACTATAAACTACAACAATGTACAGTATTACAGCTTTACTCTTCTAACTTTAACTTTAGCAAATTCGTTAATTACTGATGTGTAGTCTAGAGTGCTAGCCATTGCAGATTCAATAAAAATTAATGCCAGATTTTTAAGTTTTGTTTGTCCTATTGAACTTCTTAAGTAGTTTTTTATTAATTTTAATTTGGAGAAACTTCTTTCCCCACTAGCTACAGATACAGGGAGAGTTAATAAAATTTTCAGAGCTACAACAGTATTTGGATACAAACTAATTAAGCTATTTTGGCATAAATAATTTAAAACATCCAAAGGTTTCGTAGAATATGGTAGCATTCTGGATACATCACGCAATTCTTCTCTAAGGTTATTTGCATTTATATCTGTTTCATTTTCAACCGAAAGTATAAACTCAAGACTGGAACAATAATTTTCTAGCGTTTCGTCATCTATATCCTTGGGTTTTAAAATGTCATATAAGAACTGAAATTTTTTGCTATGGGTTTCCAGAAGCGTGAATCGTTCATTCAGAGAATTAAGGGTAATGTCCAGAATATAGTTGAAAAAGTTTATTTTAAATTTTTTCTCCTCTGTTAAGGGTTCATCGACAGCTTTTTTATAGTCAAATTGACGCTTTTTCCTTCTGGGTCTAACTTCAGTGTCATCAGGAAATTCTGTACTGCATTCGAGATTCTCTGCTATCTCCTTTGCAGCAATTTTCATCTGAATATATCCAGATTGTCTATAACTTTTCACTTTTTTTATGGTTTCTGATAGCATCCTTACACAATCTGATATATTTATAGTAACAGATTGCAAAAGCTTCGAAACTGAATTAATTTCAAACAAAATATCATGCCAAAGAATTACTCCACATATAAACTTGTAATTTTTAATATTTTTTGCTAACCCTCTCGCTTTAACTTTAGTTTCTGCATCTCTATTGACGTCTTCTATTATCAGAATCAATGCATCATAGATTTCGCAAAGTTGAAATCGTAAAGGTTTTAAAGCATCGTATTCTGCTTGCCCACCTAGTAGCACTTAATGGTTTCAGAGTTAATTGAGAAACATATTTTTTTAGCACTTCCCAACGCTTTGTAGAACCAGAAAAAAAAGTGTAAAGTTCTTGTGCAATAGAAAAAAAAAATGTTGTTTCTGTAGTAGAAGACGCTGCATCATTCACAACAAGGTTTTAAGAATGGCATGCGCAGGGCACATAAAAGCCCTTGAATATTTTTCAAGTATTCTATCTTGAACACCCTTTCTTCCTCTTTTCATATTGGCTCCGTTGTCATAGCCTTGTCCCCTAAGCCACTTTAACTCAAAACCTAATTTTTCCAAATGTGTCAGAATAAGTTTTGCCAAACCTTCTCCGGTTGAATCACTAGCTTCAAAAAAACCAATAAAGAATTCTGCAATTTCATATTTATTTTGAATGGAGTTAAAAGTAACAACTCTTATTGTTAAGGAGAGCTGTTCATAATGACTGAAGTCGGGGGTAAAATCACCGATTATAGAAAAATATTTAGCGATTGTTGTTATTTCGACAATTTTTGTTAAAATTGAATTTCCCATTAAATTTATCAATTCATCTTGTATATTATTGCTTAGATAAGTCACTGACCATTTATCAGACTCTCGTTAAACTCTCCTGATATGTTCTTCCATAACTGGATCAAAATCAGAAAGTAATTCTCCCAACTTTAGGAAGTTCCCGTTATTAGGTTGAAACAAATGTTCAGTTGATCCACGAAAAGCTAAACATTGTGAGGCCAATAGTTTAATTATTGACATAATTCTTTTTATAACTCCTCCCCAATGCTGAAGTTCCATATCCATAATTCGTTGATATTTAGCGTCAATAGTTTTTTCCTGCTTTAATCGAATGTCCATGCTCATGTCTTTCCATGCTCTAAAAGCATTTCTGTGATTTACAGACTTTTCGTGCATTTATAAGATTTTTCCAGTCAGAATAGCCTTTTTTGGGCCAGTCACTAATATCAGACGAATTATCAAATAATATACAACGAAAGCAAAAAACGGCATCACTAGCAATAGAGTAAATAAGCCAACTTCTCTCAACGACTTCACCATTGCTCAACACTTTCGAATAATACGAGGGCAAAAATCTACGCTTTCCTTTATTAATCGGAAACTCGAATTCTTTAATTTGATGGGGACCCCTCTCAACCAGTAGTTGACGAGTTTGAGATGACATGCAGTAAAAGTAAGCCATAATGCAGGATCTGAAGGAATTTCTTTTAATACCTGCTGACTGCCACTGCTAATGCGGCCCGGTTCTTGATGAACTTCTGATGATGTTATTTTTTGGATCTCTTCAACAATTTTTTCTGGAATTAATTGGAGCTTCAACAATTTTTTCTGGAATTGATTGGTGTTTTTATTTGCCAAATCCAAGGCAGTCGCAGTTGACATGGATGTGCTGCCCGGCTGTTCATGAAGATCTGATGGTGTTAGTATTTGGCTCTCTTCAACAACTTCTTCTGGAAGTGATTAGGGCGGCACTGTGTTGTTATTTGCCAAATTAGTTGCTGCTGATGTGGATGGCTCATCTAAACCGCACTTTTGTACTAAGAATTTCTTCATAACATTGCTGAGCTTTCTTTCTTGTTCCTCATTCTTTAAGCGTTTGTTTTTGTATTGACTTCCAGATAATTTCTTTTTTGTTCCATGCTGACGATTGCTGTCACTGCTGTAATAAATTTTTGTAAAAATTTTGTAAAATCTTTGTAATGTCATCATGTTTTTAACAGTTAAAAACATGATGACATTACAAAAAGAAAAATGTAGACAATGAAAAAACTTTTAAAGTGATAAATACATTCACGAGTTTAGTAATAATTAAAATTTAAATGAGTCCAGTTTATGATTTAGTACCTAATTATTATTGCATCCCTGAAATTGCATTTTGATATCGCTACTTTGCCGCCCCTTAATGGTGCCGCCTGAGGCGGCCGCCTCTTTGTATCATAGTAACGCACGGCCCTGCGATTATGGATTTGTTATTCAAGTATGTTGGACGCAGTATACTGTCAACCTTGTTGGCTTTTTTCAAGCATCAAAAGTCAATGGCAATCGGGGATAAAGGATTGGAAAAAATTATCACAAAAGATATAAATGCACAATTCATCCCAACATCACATTAAAGCCTGTGCGGTGCTCGAAATATGGAAGAAAAATAAAACCATCGATAAAAAAGCTGAAGATGAAATACGATATAGGGCATCATTTTGGCAGATGGTGCTAGAACGATTATTCCGCATAACACTTATGTTATCAACAAATTCTTTGGCATTTCGTGGTCACCTTGAAGGATTTACTGAGGATTATAATGGAAACTTTTTATCACAAGTTCAATTACTTTTTAACTACGACAGTGTCATGAAACAAATTTTAGAAATGCCATCTGGTTCAATCCGATACTTAAGTCCGATCACACAGAATGAACTAATATATTGCCTAGGAAAAAAGTTATTGAATGACTTGATTGCAAATAGTAATTCATCACCATTTTTTGCCCTAATGTTAGACACAACACAAAACATTACCTAGAGAGACCAATTAATTGTTATAATACGGCATGTTCACGTTGTTAGAAATGTAAATCAAGAACCAACTCATTTTAAAATTAAGGAAACATTTTTAGGATTTTATGAATTGAAGGACCATTCAGCTGAGGGAATGACTAATCAAGTATTGACGTTATTGAAAGAAGCACATATTCCAGTTGAAAAGTGTTATGGGCAGGGTTACGATGGTGCTAACGTTATGAGTGGAGTTTACAGTGGTGTACAAACCAGGATTAAACAAATCCAACCAAATGCTGAGTTTGTACACTGTAACAGTCATAATTTAAATTTGGTAATTAATGACTGCGTAAATGGTTCGCATGATATCTTATTATTTTATGCTACTCTTCAATATATTTTTTTTTTTTTTAGAAATAGCATAAAAATATGGGACCTCTTCTCTATATTTACTGGGGAGTCTGAAGTTACATTGAAAAAACTAAATCCAACTCGATGGTCTGGTAGACTACAATCATTAACAGCTGTAAAAGTTCGATTTATGGATATTTTAAAGGCTTTGACTGAAATAATCCTTAAATCGATCAAAAAAGAAGAAAGAGATGAAGCACTTTGAATGAAGAAAAAAATGGTGACATTCGATTTTGTTTTTATCTGTGTTTTTTTATTTAAGGTAATGTGCGAGGTTAATTATGCTTCAAAAACTTTACAAAAATAAGAAATAAACTTGGAGGAAGCTACTGAAGTTTTAAAACATGTTCGTGAAAAGTTAAATTACATTAGAAATTCATATGAACAAAGCAGAAGAACTGGCACGAAAGTGGGACATCGAAACTAATTTTCAATCAAAAAGGCAACCAGTGAAAAAGCGACATTTTGATAAATAGGCTTCAGATCATCGGTTTCAGAACAGAGAGCAATTGTTTAAAATGAATGTTTTTTATTTTGTATTGGACAAAACCAGCGTACAAATTGAACAACGTTTTTCGGGAATGCTAACCGTGAAAAACCTTTTTGCTTCTTAGAACCTAAAAACACAATAAATTTGCCTGATACAGATATCTTAGAAATGTGTGAAAATTTAATATTGCATATGGTATACCTTTTAATATTAAATAGTATACCTTATGCAATATTAAATAGTATACCTTATGGTATACTATTTAATATTGCATAAGGTATACTATTTAATGGCATACCTTTTAATGGTATACCTTTTAATACTATTAATGGTATACCTTTTCTCTCTTTATTTACTGAAGTTTACATTTTATTTAGTATTTAATCAATACAAAAATTTTTTGAAGCAAAATTTTTGTATAATTCCGATAAAATTATTTTGAAAATTTTTTAGTTGGGGGGCCCTTGCACTGGTTTTTGCCTCACGGCCTAAAAATTCCTAGCTACGCAACAGTTTCCAGCCGGCTAATAATGTTGAAATAACGTTGAAATATCGTTGAAACCTAACGTTGAATTTACGTTGATTTAACGTTTAAAATGAAACCTTTTTCAACGTTGATTTATCAACGTTAAATCAACTTTAGGTTCAAACATTATATTAACGTTGATTCGACGCGAAAAAACGTTAGAATAATGTTAAATTTACGTTGATACAACGTTAAAAATGATTATTAAATTATCAAAGTTAAAACGACTGTAAAACACCTTTTCACCATCAAAACGTGCTATGTATGACAAAATGTATATATGTATGTAAACATGCCATGTGCGTCAAAATGTGATCACCATCAAAACGCACTATGCATGTACATTAGTGTTGCTGTGCATTATCAAGGTATATTATGGATATTAAATCTATTCATAGTCTATACTTAGACTATTTAGAAATTTTTCAGTTTAGTTTAGTTAAAATAGCTAGGTATGATTAAAGAAAGAGATAAAACTTGTTTTATTGAAAAATATATTTAAATATTACGTATATTTACATATAATTGAATAAAATCTTTACAAATTTCTTCTCTTTTCCACCACCTTTTTTAAACAGCCGGTAATTTAGAAAGTTTAAACATGTTCCATTAACCGAGATTTCTTCTGGTTCATTGAATACAAAAGAAGAAGCTGTAAATAAAAAAGTATATATATAAAAAATCAAAAAGGGATGATTTAAAAAAAATGTAATGAATGGAAAAGTGTAACAACTTATTAAGGTATACCTTTTTCAACGCCATATAGATTAGTGTTATTAAAACATGTTTTTCCACCTTTGCCCTTCATATCCGTGGAGGCCATATAACTTTTCGAAAATACTCTCAATTTAAAAAAAGTAATATAAATAGTCGGTTATTAATAACTTTTTTTAATATTTAATTTAAACAAAACAACCTTTTTTCAAAATAAATTAATAATCAAAATATAAAACATTTCTAGCATTAAAAAATAATTTTCGGGGTAGCCACATAAAATTTTTATAAGAAATTTTATGTGGTCATTCATTAATGGTTTAACGTCCATGTTTATACACTTAGTGGGGCTTGGACAGGGATTTAATAATGTCATTTTTATGTTAAATAACATGCATTTCCTAAAGTAATTTTTTACAATTCCATGCACTTTAAGGCGTTAACCAGTTTTGCAGACCAAAATTGGGTATTTTGAACATTATACTTCTATCAAAAATTAATTAGAGAACAATAGAGGATTTTAGAAGTGGTTTTAAAAAAAAGAGGACTGCAGAGGATTTTAAAGGAGCTGCGGACATCCTGATTATAAATGAGGTAAGAGTCCAATACTGCTTTTGATTACCTCAGCATAATTTTGTGTATTCTATCTTTAGAAGACGTTCCATTAATTAACTGTAATTGATTTATCTGTAAAAAACATAATGTAAATCTAATATTATGCTTGTGGAGATATATTATATTTTGGAGAACCATCCAAACCACCAAAGTAGAAAATTTGCATTCAAGTTTCCACTTGTGTGCAAATCTTGCATCCACTTGTCAACATTCTCATTATCACATTTTTCTTTTGTAGTTGTGAATGTAAAATTTTGGAATTGAAATAGTTGTACAAATAGTTATATATTTTGTATCAACAAAATAACTCTTCTTACCACATTATTAAAAAAATAATAATTGTAATATATAGATGTAATACCTGAATAGAATTTAGTTTTTATTTGTATAAACTTAAGCCAATTCTTCTCTGCATTTTAATGCAGTCAATGCTTTGGTACCTGGAAGCCGACAAACAATTTTATCACTAATCAGATTAGATGGATTTATTTCTTCTTGTAAATCTTCATTCCAAACAGATCTTTTCGACATATTTGATTTTAAAAAAATTACAGAACTAATAATAAAATGAAGAAACCATAATATAAGTGTACTAACAGGCCTAATTTAACTAGCTAAGTTTGAACATTTTATAACCATGTTACTTACTAAAAAATAATTATTATTAGACATTAGCAAAGACTAGATTTTTTTTATTTTATAAATATATTATATTTTAAATTCATTTTATTAATTTATTTATTACTCTATTATTCAGCAGAGTTCTGAATATAATATGTTTAAATAACTTAAGGCTTAATAACAAAGAAAAATAATGGAAGAATCCTAGGTTGCTAAAACATAAACATCTACATAAGATAATCATGGAATATTGAACAAAAATAGAAATACAAAAATACTCATTATTATTATATATAATATAATAGTATAACGTAAGGTATATTATAATATATGACACAAAAATATTTAATTTTAGTGGAAATATAAAAGCAACAAAAATTAAAAAAGAAAATATTTTATTAAATAATAAATTGTCATTCAAACAATTTTAGAGACCTAAAAATAACTTGTAACTTATTTTTTACTCATCTTCATCTAATAAACATTAACATTAATACCAATTTTAAACATTATTAGAATTTTTTTTTTACTAAAAAATAAGAATATTACAATTACTTTTTGGGCTTTTCTTATTTTACTTAAAACGTCAACTTAATCCTAGGCTTTTTTCATAATTGAGTTTAATTTGTAATGTTGAATTAACACTGACAAAAAAATTAGCAGACAAAAAGAAATTATTTCTTCATTGAAATATATGTAAATATTTCAATAAAGAAATTTTAGATTGATTTGTTAATAAATAATAATTTATATCAATCAATCTAAATTTTTTTCTTTTCCGCTTCCTTTTTGAAACGGAGCGCATTTTAAGAAGTTGGACAAAATGTCATCAATTAAAGTTTCAGTCGCTCCATTGTATTTAATAGAAGAAGCCGTTAATAAAAAAGAATAAGAAAAAAAAAAAAAAAAAAAAAACTTAAGGAGAAATTTTTGAATATATTATTAATGAAAATAAAAAAGTTTTACATATCTTATAAAGGTATCCCTTTCACTAAACCATATAAATTAGTGGTCTTATAGCATATTTCTACCTTTCCCCTTCATATTCATGGAGATCATAAAATTATTCGGAAATATTCTAAATTTTAATAGATAAGAGAACTGATATTAATTATGCGAGAATTAATATTAACTTTTTTTTAATTTAAATTGAACTCATTATCAAACAAATTTTTTGCTAAATAATTTAAATCCTTAAAATTCTTGAATAATCAAAAAATAATTTTGATTACCTCAGCATTATTTTGTGAATTTTGTCTTTTAAAGATATTCCATCAATTGCAATTGATTCACCTAAAAAAATAAATATGTAAAGCTTATATTGTTTGAAATTTTAACTATCTTTATACAAATACTCATCATATTTTTTAAGTGACTGATAAAAATAGATTTAATTAAAATCACTTCATTTGTATTAAAAAATTAATATTAAAACCTTAATCCTACATTGTACAAGAGTAGTTGTTGCGATTTGTAATTTCTTTATCCGAAATTTAGCTTCTGAAAGCTTTTAAAATTTTTAAAGAAACTATTGATGAATTTGGAGCTACGGGTACTAATGATTTTATATTGTTGTAATGTTTGTATTCATTTCCTGTTAGTTTCTGTAAGTCAAAATTTTTTAGGTGTTTCCATAATAAACTCTGTTATATCTGAAATTTAGTGTAAGTCTGAATAATTTAATTTCTAAAATCTGTTTTGCATTGCCTGTCTTATAACATCTTTACTTGGAACAAAAACCTGCTTTAAAAGTGAGCTAGAAGCTTTTAACCATGTAGAAAATATTGCATTCGCTAATCCTAAAAATATATTAAACCTGTCAGCAAGATCAGCTGTCAGCAATCCAAGTATTAGCATCATTAAAAATTCATCTTTGCTGCATTACATTTATTTTGGTCTAAGTAGTTAAGGATTTTTTAAAATTTCAAAAAACAGAAGTAGATGTTTTTTTAATATCACTTTATCTTCTTTTGAATAATGGTGATACTACACTAACTGATGAAACACATTGACAGATGTAAGGCCAGAATAAAAGTCGCAAGATCTGTCATGTTTAAAATAATTGTTTGTATACAAGTAAATTACAATAACACGATTTGTTTGGATTATGTTTATATACAAATTTGTCTGGTTTCATAGTAATAACTGATGTGGTTGAAGTTAATTTTTCATATAAATTTTTATTTCTTTTATTTCGTGCTAAAGTTTTTTTTTAAATTTTTTATTTTTATTTTTTTTATTTCGTGCTGAAGTTTTTTTTAAATTTTTAATTGTTGATGCTTTTTTATAAAACAACGCCTAACATTAAATTCAACATAATTTAATGGATCATTTTTTGAAAAAGTTGTATTATTTACATTTAATAATATAAGTCTTAGAGCATTGTAGCCCAAGTTAAACGGAAAATATCGATTTTTAAACGATAATGCTCTTTCAGGAAAATCGTCTGAACATGTTTTTGATCTCTTGAAAATTCTATATGTTATAAGTTCAATATTTACATTTTTTTCCATTATAAATCTCTGTAACTTAAACCGTTGAAATAATATATACGTTTTTACTTCCATAACTGCGCGCGCATAAACTTTATATCGGAACTGTGAAAAGGTGTTTGTATTTTTTGTCAGCAATGATTTAACGTTGAAATAACGTTAAATAATCAACTTTTAAACTGTAACGTTGATATAACGTAAAATAATCAACGTTGAAACCGTAACGTCGATTTAACGTTGTGACATAGTTGAACAACGTTGAAACAACGCTTTAAGCGAATTTTAACGTTGAAACGACGTAATGATGCCGGCTGGGTTTACTTTGCAAGATTCTGCACTTTGCTCTAACTACCTTTTTCTCATCGTTTAAAATTTTTCGTTTTAAATTCCTGCCGTTACAGGCCTCGGCGGGAATAAATGAGCACGAGAGCGGAGAAAAGTTTTCCTAAAACTTGGAGAAGCTGTGCGAACTGCTCCTCATTTAAATCGGCGCTCTTTTATTAATTTGTATTTTTTTTTTAGCAACAACAGTGCTTTTTAAAAAGCATTGCAGTATATTATGCTAAAGCTCTGGCTTTCCGTCGAGGCCTTCGTTGCACCCTTTTTGTTCTTATTGTGATTGCAAATACTTTTTATGTCGTCTACTTGCTTGTTTTACATTTTGCAGCATATCTTTATTAATTTTGATACTATCAGGGTATTCTTCAAAGGAAGACAAATGATCTTCAATAAGACGTTAGGCAATAAGGTTTATTTTTTAAGATTTTCGACAAGAAGTTGTTTATTAATGCTAAAGCCACGCTCAATGGAAGACTGTCTATGTCAAAGCACAAAAATCATTTTAAAAACACTCCAAACATCTTTATAAGCTTTATTTGCCCCAATAAAGTCAGAGAAAAAAATGATCAAGACTATCGTTTTTAAAACCAAAATTTTCAAATGATTTTCGAAATTAAGTCTACTATTTCTAAAATTTTAAATACTGATTTTTCACAAGTTCGGCAGACTTTGGTAACAAACGACCATTTTTAACTAACTTTTGCAACAGAATTGAAAAACTATTGATAAAAGTATTCCTTTTATTCGGATTTGAAATGAAAATTGAATTAATAGGGAATGCAGTGCGTACTATGACAAACTTCAAAGGGGACTTCTTAAGAAGATGTGTCAACAGACCAGCTAAAAAGTAGCTTGCTTCTTTTTAAATATAACCACTCTTTGGTCACTGTAACTGAAATTAGTTTCATCAAGTTTTAACCGAGCAGCAAAACCAATATCAGTTTCATTTAAAGACTTTCTAATATTTTTAACCATTAAATTTACTTAAACCTTGTGATATAGGATGCTACGCTTATTAAAATGTCTTTCAGTATGATTCTCCTGAGAAAATTGTTCACTATTTTACTAAGTGTAATAGCCAAAAATGGAACCATAGGTTTGTCTGTTTGCAAGAATATTTCAAAAAACTATTTAACTTTTCAGAAACCATCTCAAAAATTTAAGTTTAGCTCGCAAAACAGGATCATGAATCATGGCTTTCATTCTCTGCCAGCGTTTATTTTCTTAAATTAGGTTGTTTGCTCTTCTTAAGGCTTCTGAAATATATTACAAACTTGTTGTATCCATCAAGTAGTGATTCAGCCATTTTTTTTTACTTTCGCACCACCTATGCCAACAAAACCGCATTGGATAATCAAGTGTCCCAGTGATATTTTCATAGGCTGCTTTTAACCCTAACTCTGATGAGAGTCATTTAGAATTTACCACATTGCTTTTAATTTAATAGATTATTAAGCTCCAAGGCACTTGCTTCTGCCCCGTTTTTAAAACTGCTATGAATGATATGGAGACTACAGATTTCAATATCTATAAGAAGATCAAGTTCTTCCTCTTTCCTCTGCTCTTATAAATTCTAGAAAATTAAGAAAAAGCAAATTTACATTTGGTCCATCTAATGACACTTGTTGAGTCTTTGATTAATCTATATCAGAAATACAGTTCAGGAATGATTGCATAACATCATGTGCTGTCGAGCGCCCCATAAACTCTGAATTAAGATAAAGTGTTTTAACCATACTTGAATTGTATACTTGAATTGTTATCCCAAATTCTTACTAAAAGGTCCAATTGACCCTTCTAAACTAGTTGACATTTATTTTTTTAAAGTTAATAAACTGGCATTAAGTTGCTTAATAAATAAATAATAAAACAAGACCCGATGAAACAATTTTATATTAAGAAGAATATGTTGCATTAACAAATTTATTCCAATCAAATTTTCTCTGAGTAAAGGATACATCGTCAAGGATATATTCAAACGGTAATGGATATATTTTATAGTAATAGATATATTTAAATACTAATGATACTAATCTGAAGTATACACCTTTAAAAAGTTAATTTAAATAAATTGTGATAACAATAAGAATAAAAATTAAGAAAAATGTGATAATTATATGAAAAGGAATAATAGTTAATGTAAAAGGTTATATAACGAAATTAAAACTCATGATAAAATTAATAATAATAATTATTAATAATAACGATAACAATAATATAGCAATAATATTAGTTATATATATTTGGAAGTATGATATTAAAAAGTAAATATCAATTAATTGTTATTAATAATAATATAGGAATGAAAGCAGTAATTATTTAAAAGTACGTATATGTATTTCATGATAATAGTACGAATGAAACAATAATAATGATAATAATAATAATAATAGTAATAATAATAGTAATAATAAAAATAAGGAGCAACACTAGTACTTATTATTCATAAAACAAAAAAACTGTAATAAAAGTAAAAACAATAATGTTCCAAATATTAAAAATGCGAGATATATATTCATTACATACATATACAAACACATGCACATATACAAATACACCCACATATATATAAATGTACATGCACATATACATACAGACATACATACTCATATACACGTACCCATACTAGGTACGTGGACTGATTTTTTTAAATTGATCAAATACTATATTTTAAAGGTGAAAAAATTATGAAAATCGGACTATTCGAAAAAAAGTTATAGCGTTCTTAGTAGCAATCTTTCGATATATATATTTCTTAATAAAACTGTGGTCAAAAAAATTTTTTTTTTTCACATAAAATGTTATTCTTATTCAAATATCTATAACTTGGTATCAAAAGATAGATGTAATAATGGGCTATAATTTCAAACTAGTGCTAATCCACCACCTACACCTCACAAAATTACACAATATTTTTTCTTAATAGTGTGTTTTTTTCAAGAAATTAGTAGTATTTATATATTACAAGTTGTTTTTTATTTAATCCACACCACTTGCAAATTTTACAGGTCTATCTTAAAGTTGGGTGTTGGTTTGTGGTGAAGGTTTAACACACCCTATAAAAATTTCATTTTTATTAATATTATAATCTTTAATAAAATGATTAAATCTATTACAAAAAATAAAAAATATATTTCAACACTTAAAAAATTATTCACTTTTTTTTAAATATCTTTAGCATCATCTTCTTTCACCTGTGAAAATGGTGAGGTTTTGCTTTATATTTTTATTAAATAAAATTGCAAGTATTTACAATTTTTATTATATTTTTTTATTTGTAATTTTAAATTTGTTAACATTTGAGCACTACAAAAATTATCTATTAACACCCAGGGCCTCTCTCAGAGAGGTCCTTCAATAAGTGGTGTAGCAAATGGCGGTATGGATGAGTCCTCCTTCAAATAGAGGGCTCATCCATACCGGGGTGTTGGGAGACACAGAAGAAAAAACAGCATCCAAAAGGTTGTAAATGTCTTTTATCAGTGAAAATATTTGTAACTTTTTTGTTGCCACTTTTTCTTTGGTGATTTTTTTTAATTTTGTTATTTTAGTTTGTAATTTTTTCTAATAATATATTATGTTGTATATTTGATTTGTTTTGGTCTTTTTTAATTAAAATTTTAAATATTTTTTCACCAATTAAATTTAAATATAGTTAAATTGATTCATTATCCAATTATCATAATATAATGATGCTACATTCTATTGTTAAAAATAATTCATTGGTAGTTTAATTACTTAAACTCACCGCTTTTAAAATTTACTATAAACCGAGAAAATATATATATATATATATATATATTTGTTTATTTGCATTCACTCCCAACAAGGCTGCAAGCAACCACTATTAAGTTGGGAGTTACTAGGAAAAAAAAAATAACAGAGTTATAGAGCAAGGAAACGGTTGACAGAAGACTTGAAAAGTTGAAAGTTGTATGAGTCAAGAAAACATGAAGATGGGAGAGAGTTCCAAAGGATTGAAGTGCGGGGAAAAAAACTAGCTGAATAAAAGTTTTTAGAGCATGCTGGGACAGATACAGTAAACGAATGAGACTTAGCTGAATGACGAGTAAAACGAGAATGAATTTTAGTTGATGGAACTAGAGATGATAACTCCTTTGAGCAGTGACCATGATAGTATTTGTAGAAAAGACAAAGAGATGCAACATTACGACGATATGAAAGAGGTTCAAGCTTAGCAGATAGTCCAGGTCCAACAACATTTACAATGCGTTTTTGGACCTTGTCAAGAAGAGAAAGTGAATCGTTAGAAGAACCAGCCCAAGTATGACAACAGTATTCCATTCAGGGACAAATAAGAGATTTGTAGAGGTAGAGAATGGAATCAGAAGTAAGGAAATGGCGAGCACGATAAAGAGAAGCAACCTTAGTAGAAGCTAATTTAGCAATCGATTGTATATATGGTTTCCGTGAAAGGTCAGTAGTAAGCGATAATCCAAGAAGACGTTAAGAGGACGACTCAGTAAGAGGATTGCCATTCATTAATATAGGAATGTTGACCATATTACGGTAGTTGTTTGCCGTAAGCAATTGGGTTTTTTTAGAGTTCAAATTCACAAGCCACTGTAAACCCCAACCTATTACTGAAGTGAGATCAGATTCAAGATCAGCTGCTTGTTCTAGGCGATCGAAAAGAGAAGACTTTTTGTCAAGACAGGAGTATAAAGTTGAGTCATCAGCAAAAAGAGCTACTTTAGATGAAAGGTTGTCAGGAAGATCGTTTATGTTGATAAGAAACATAACAGGGCCCAGGATGGAACCTTGGGGAACCCCAGAAGTTACTGGAAATAAAGAAGAGTGTTGGCCTTCAAGGATGACTTTAATAAACCAGTCAGAAAGAAATGATTTGATAATCTCAAAAACTTTTCCAGAAACACCATATAAAGCAAGCTTATGGAGAAGACCAGCATGCCAAACTTTGTCGAAAGCTTTAGATATGTCGAGAGCAATAGCCCTAGCCTCACCGCCTCCATCTAATGCACGATAAAATCTTTCAGTTACAGCAGTTAGCAAGTCGGCCGTAGAGCGAGAGGATCAAAAGCCGTATTGATTGTCTGACAGCAGTTTATTTGACTCAAGATGAGATGTGAGGTATTTGTTGATCAAAGACTCAAAGACCTTGCTAATAACAGAAAGAAGACTGATCGGACGATAATTAGAGGGGTCAGAATTTTTTCCAGAGTCTTTGAATATTGGAACCACAGATGCCATTTTCCAACAAGCAGGAAAACAAGACTCAGTAAAATACTTGTTAAATAGTTTAGAGAGAATTGAAGAAAGTTCTGGAGAACAATTCTGCAAGACTGTAACAGGAATGTTGTCGGGACCACAAGCTGTAGACGAGTTTAATTGAGATATGGCTTTAGTAACAGAAGCCAGAGTGATTTGAATGTCTAACAATGGGTCAACCTGTTTGACTGGAATGGAAGGAAGAGAATGTCCATAAGATTCAAGAGTGGAATTAGAAGAAAAGTTCTTTGCAAACAGTTCTGACTTATCTCTGGAAGAGGTAACAAGATCAGTCCCATGAATGAGAGATGCAATGTTAGATCTACCCTTGTTAACAATGCTGTTGAAGATTTTCCAAAAGTCTTTAGAGCCTAACTTCTGTGATAAAATGCGAGATTTAGTGAACTGAGAATAATGGAGTTTAGCATCAGAAAGCACCTTTTTGCATCGATTTCTTGCAATAATAAATAGCCGTTTGTTCTCAAGAGAGTTGTTCTTTTGAAAAAGATAAAAAAAATGATTACGATTGGATATAGCAGCCGCACAAGAAGGAGAAAACCATGGAGTAGAATGAGGCTTGACTTGAAACCGACGAGAAGGAATAAAAGCTTCCATTCCAGCCTGAAACCAGAAGGTTACGTAGGAGGCGCATTTGTCAGCTGAGAGAGAAAAAACATCAGCCCAAGGACCATCACGAAGAAAATCACGAAAGGAATCCCAGTCAGCTTTAGGGTAGTAGTAGGTGGAGCGATGATAAGGTGAGCCCAAAAAAGAAGTACGAGAAGAAAGATTTATAGAGTTCATTGCGTGGTCAGAACCACCTAAGGGAGAAAAGGGAGAAACTGAACATAAGCTAGGGTCAGAGACAGGACATAAGTTAAGGAGTGAAGGTAAATGATTAGGGTTGTCACGAAAACGAGTCACAAAGTTAACTATCTGAGTAAGAGATTGAGAAACGCAGAAGTTAAAGGCTTTAGTGCCAGCAGGATCAGTGGTGTTAGAGCTAAGCCATTCAGTGTGATGGACATTAAAATCACCAACAACAACAATATTGGCAGAGGGGTAAAGAGAGAGGGCATGGTATATTTGATCAGAGATAACATCTAAAAGAGTGCAATCATGGGAAGAAGGAGAACGATAAAGAACAAAGAGAAAGGTGATAGAGTGAAGAGGTGCTAGGCGAAAGCACATAAAAGAATGGTCAAAGGATTCGAACCTGATTTCACGACAAATAGGGGAATTAATGCGTATGTACACCCTTAAACCTAGCATGTGACTATTGGAGTCTTTACAAATAAAAGGATAGTACCCATCCACACTGACATCTGAAGAAGGAATTGCAGAATTTAAATTTATTTCACTAAGTGCAAGCAAGTCTGGTGAATTTTGCAGGAGGTAAGACTCAACTGATGGAAAGTTGCTTCGTAGACCGCGAATATTTGTAAAAGACATATTAAAATATTTAGGTGGTGGGGATGGTTTTTTTAGGTTTTAAATTTTTGGTTACTATGGTCATGATTTGGGTTTAATGAGAACTAGATAGAGCACAGCCTCCTAATCAATGAGCTATGCAGTTGTCTCAGTCCTGTTAATTAACCCTAAGCCGTGACATAGGGCTCCTTATGTGGCCTTGACAATGCACACCAAAAGCATTAACAGGGACACCATCCATGCGCAACATGGCACTGTTAATACTCTGATATTTTGCAGCTGTTGATGGAATCAGCCTCT